GGAAGGAAGGAAGGAAGGAAGGGCCTTTTTCACAGTTCTCTTCAATGTGGGTTAACCTGAAAGTCCCATCACTGCTGCTCACTACCTTTGTGTTACCTTTCGGAGAGCCAGCTCTGACTCTCGATCCTCAGTGATGAGGGCATTCAGTTGGGCTCTGAGCTGATTCAACTCCTGCTGTAATTTGGAGCACTTGGTCTGGGATGAACGCAGCTCTGCCTTCTGTTGCTTCTCTGTATCGGTCCGGAGGCGCTGGGTTTGGCTTTCAGAGCATTTGGACAGATTGTGCAAGCGAACTTTAAGGTCCTTGATTGCAGCATTCTTCCTGGAGATCTGAAGACCACCTTAGCTGGTCAGTGTGAACGACTTTGTGCCATCAATATGTCAATTGAAAAGATGACATAGATACAGAGAACTGCTTTTGAAAAGACTGGCAAGGATCTGGAGAGTAAGAGATCCGCCACAGTACAGTAGATAGATGCATTCTGGAAATCTGGGTCAGTTGGATGTCAGAGCTAAAGTTAATTGTGTCACCACCAAATCCAATGCTGGCTCCAGGTTTGGGGGGGGGGCATCTGACTGCCTCAAGTAGGACCACCCCTTCCCCTCTATGGAATACTAACCAACTGCTTCCCCTTTCCTTCTGGCTTCAGAATTCTATATAAACACCTTGAAGGAGAGCACACCGAAAGCAGAAAGAGCTGTTCCCTCTCAACAATATTTGCATGGCTGGAAAGGGGAGATGGAGAGATAAACGGTGGTAATAAGATCAAGCAGGTCCATGTGGGCACAGGGAACTGGCAAAGAATGGCCCGAGGGCAAATGCAGTCCCAAGTCCCGTTGACTTCCCATGCCTCTCATCCCAAATGGCCAGTCATGCCCTCTAGAGCAGAGGTCCTCAACCCCCGGTCTGCAGCCCGATGCTGGTCCGTGGCCTGAGCCAGACCGGGCCGCGGAGAGAGACCCCACCCCACCCCACCCCCGCACACACTCCCCCCATACAGCCTGTTTGTGCCCTCACTCCTTTGTGCATGCGCACGAGTGCACCCATGCGAGAGAGAGCGCACGCTCCTTCGTGCATGTGCACGAGCACGGGGGGGGGGGGGGCCCACTTTCCCCAGCCGGTCTACGGGGCTAAAAAGGTCGGGGACCTCTGCTCTAGAGGACACGTGGCACCGCTCTTAGGGGCAAACTGTTTTTGAGCAGGGAAAAGGTGTTTGTTTTTTAATCATTATTTTCAAAATTAGAAGTGTCCTAAGGCACAGTGCCTTGGCCAGTGTGATATCACTTGAATAATATTAGCCCATGCAATCTATTGCCAACCAGATACCAATAAAAAAGGGAGAAAAGGATTTTTTGGACGGCAGTTCCTACAATCCCACTAGCTGTGCTAACTGTGGGATTCTGGGAGTTGTAGTTCACCAGAATAATTTTCCTTATCTCTGGATCACAGAATTTTCAATGCATTCCCAGACCTCTGCCTCTGTACCTCATCATCACGATTTTGGATTGCGGCAGCCAGTTCCTCCTCCAAAGCAGCTATCATCTCTGTATTCTTCTTGTCTCGCTTAGAGATTTCATCCAGAAACTGATTTTTCTCTCTTTCTTCTAACGGGGTTGTCAGAAGCCTCTCAAACAAGAATCCTCTGAGGTCCGAGAGGCATTTAATGAACTGGCTGTTTGATGGATGCCTCATGTGGGCAATATCTCTTACTGCCTGACAAGCTATGGGATTGGCATAGCACAGGCGCACAATATTTCGGACAGAGTTTCTTAAGCCTTGGGTATGCAAATCAAGATGTCCTGCTGGATCTTCAGCACCATACACAACCCCTTTGCTAGTACCCTTCTGCAAAATCCCTTCTTCTTCAAGGTGCGCGAGAATAGCTTCCATAACATTGGAAAGACGCTGATGTTCCTTAAGAGCTTCTGTAAGTTCAGGTCCCAGTGCTGGGCTAAGTTCCTCGAGGTTTTCAATAACATGAGAAAATGCACTGACCAACTCCACTTTAAAGATGGTCTCATCCAACACAGATATGATCCTCTTGGTCTCCACAGTAGTCAGTTTCGACCGGCCGGGATCCAAGAGTTTCAAGGGCATTCGGAGAGTCTGCCTTCTGGACCGGTTTTCTTCCATATGCTCATAGGATGGCTGGGGCATTTCTCCCATTGCCATATTTTCAGCTAAGTGTGAGTTTGCAGGTCTGAAACACCTTTTATCTTCTATATCAGGAATTTTGATGCTTTAATACAGTAGGCAGATCAACTAAGAGAAGCACTGAAACACAGAGTCAGGAAATCAATTTAGTAACAGAATCAAACCATTAATGCAGTTCAGAAAGACTAGGGGTGCAATTAGATGGCATTTAGCCTACCATTTGGTATGTTACGGGGATAGATTGGTGTAACGTTTACCCACATGGCCCCTGCTTATTATTCCCTCACAATGGATCGACATCACATTTTCTTCTCGCTGCCACCAGCGGATTACTTCAATCCACAACATAAATGACGTATGTCAGAACACTTGTCTCATGAACAGAAACAGAACTTACTTATTGAAGTCAGGAAATCAATTTAGTAACAGAATCAAACCATTAATGCAGTTCAGAAAGACTTGGGGTGCAAATCAGATGGCATTTAGCCTACCATTTGGGATGTTACAGGATAGGTTGGTTTATTCCTTTTTCCAGCCATCACAGCCCACCCCCAGAGCATTCCTACCCATACCTTTCTGAGCTACTGTCAGGAGTTTCTACTTTTTTGGTGCAAGTAGGATTGCTCTGTTTGGTTCATTTCCAGCACGTATGACCTTATTTGGTCTGAGTACTTCCAGTGGGAATCTCCAATATTGTGAAGTGGCTTAATAAGAAAGCCCCTTCAGGGTATTGGCAAGTTACATACCTTCTCTGCTCCTCGGTGGAGTGTCAGAGAAAGTGAATTTTTAGACTCTATTAGGGCAGCGTATATGCACTACGTTGCTTATAAAAAATTAGAAAGTGTTTTCTTTGCCTTTAAGGGCCAGTTGAGAATCCATGGCACTGGACTTCCAAATATCAAAAATTCCCACTAAGATGGCATTTAGCCTACCATTTGGGATGTTACAGGATAGGTTGGTTTATTCCTTTTTCCAGCCATCACAGCCCACCCCCAGAGCATTCCTACCCATACCTTTCTGAGCTACTGTCAGGAGTTTTTACTTTTTGGTGCAAGTAGGGTTGCTCTGTTTGATTCATTTTCAACACGTGTGACCTTATTTGGTCTGGGTACTTCCAGTGGGAATCTCCAATATTGTGAAGTGGCTTAATAAGAAAGCCCCTTCAGGGTATTGGCAAGTTACATACCTTCTCTGCTCCTCGGTGGAGTGTCAGAGAAAGTGAATTTTTAGACTCTATTAGGGCAGCGTATATGCACTACGTTGCTTATAAAAAATTAGAAAGTGTTTTCTTTGCCTTTAAGGGCCAGTTGAAGGAGCCAGACCAAATAGGCTTGTTTGAGCTTCAATATGACATTCAGATGTAAGGATTGGACCAAGTGCTACATCACACTTCGAACTGACCTCAAGAAGCCCTATTCAGCTTGCATCCGCCTGCACTTTGGTTCTAACAAAGAGCTCCTTGCATTGCGGCAGGGAAAACAAAGCCTGTTTGCCAGTGCTTGCGATCTGCACTGCACCTCAAGGTCAGCTGACTGGAAACAGGTATTTGTTGGTAGCCACCCAGAGTGGTAGAATATACCAGTTGGGTGGGATATAAATCAAATAAATAAGTAAATAAATAAAAAAAATGCTTGTTAAGACAGCCAGGGTGGTATCATAGTTGGATAATCACTTGGACAAGGACTCAACCATACAACTCACAGGATAATCTTGGGGCAGCCACAATGTCTCAGTCTGATCTACCCTACAAGGTTGCTTTAATATAAATATTTAAATAAGGTATAAATCTTTTTTTTTTTGGACTATTTATGCCCAAACTCCAAGCTACGTACAGTAGAAAACAACACAGTACGATTACATTACTATATAGATCACATTTATTTGGGTTTAGTAGCCCATAAGCTACTAAATACATTGTGTCAAGTTTTAGAGTTTAAATATATATTAAAAGAGAAATTTGCCACATCTACAACACAATTTTTGCAAAGATTGCTTAAGAGTAATTTTAGTCTTGAGGAATCCAAGAAGACTGGATATTTCAATAGCCATTTTTTGAGGAATCACTCTCTTGCATATTTTGGACAATAATATGTGATGGTGTACCAAGTTCTAATGGGACAGTCCCAGTAATGTTGTTCTGGAGGTACCGTGAGAAACTCCAAGCTACTTCCAGTAGAAAACAATACAGTACAATCACATTTCCCAACAGATTCAAAATGCTTACTTATGACTTACTTCTAAATTTCAGGCACTCTTAAGTAGCCTAAGTAGCCTGGAGTTTGGGTATAAATATTCCAAATATATTACAGGATTCCCAGAGAAGCACTTAGATATCATTACTTGGAAGTAGTTTCTGAACAGAAATGCATAGATATGCACTTTCCCTTCCTGTTCTACCTCTGAATTAAAAACAAATTAAATTAAAATAGTGATGTGATTAAAATATAGAAGTGAAAGCCTGGGATGGGTAAGAAATATCTTTGCTGGATCACTAAAAACTGCAGACAAGGCAGCACTTCCAGTTCTTCATTGGACCATTGGTCACAGATATATAAAATATAAGGAAATGGGTGAGAAGCAAAAAGTCCTAAAAGGAAAAGAGGAAAAAGAAAAGATAGAGATAAAAAGGACAAGAGGCTGGACCTAACCTTACCTCTGCAACTGTAAGTTCTGTACAGAACTCCACTTCTGTACAGTTTATAATATATTTTTATTATTATTCCTATTTTTTTGCTCCTTTCTATCCCACCCTTTTGTCTAAGGCTCTCAGCTCCGCCCTTGCTCAGGAGATTACTGCTTTAAAAAATCACGAGACAAATCTTACTGTACACATCTCCTGATGTGAATATATTTATTTAAAATATATTAACCGACCTTTCCCCTTGAAAAAAGACCCAAGGTGAATTACAAACAATTAAAGAGAATATTTAAAGTTGAAAACAATGAGTATACAAACGGTGGTTAACATAATTAAAAGACAATACAATCTCTCAGTTTGAGAATGAAGCCTCTTAGGGGGAACTGGGATGGGTCTCCCTTCCTGGGAGTGCACTACAACTCCCATCATCCTTCGCCATTCTCTACAATGGCCAAGGTTTACGGGTCCTGCAGTCCATCCCCACGGGGGGGGGTTTACAAGCCCCTCCCCCTTTTCCCATTAAACTCACCGAAAAAACAAACCTTTCCCTTAAAAAGGTTATTATTATTGCAAATCACCCTATCTGTCCGGGTTTTGTTTTTGTCAAAACAAGGCCACGTTCCTCCGTTGCCAGGCAACCGTGCCTAGAGCTTGAGAGGGGAGGAGCCTGCCTGCGGCGGAAGAGGCGGGCCTTGAAGGCAAGGATTCCCCAATCAGGAGCCGCCAGTCCCTCCAGCAACCAATCCGTCCCCAGGTCGAAAACCAACCCCCGGAGCGCCTGTCCTTGCGAGTGGTGCCAGCTGGAAAAGGCACCCCGAGGGAGAGAGGGAGGGAGGCGGGCGAGGATGTCTTTATGATTGGGAGGGGGCTCCGAGAATCGTCGGGGCATTCTGGGAGTTGTAGTGCAAAAAGCCTTGGCTTTCAGTTTTAAAAGGTGGCTTTGAAAAAGGCTTGAATGTTTCTATAATCGGGGACTTCGCCGAAACAGCTATAAAAAAGAAAAAAGAAGTGGGCTTGCAGTCCAGAAAAGCCGGTGCCCAATGCGAAGCCCTTGACATGTAAAATATTTTGCAGGATACTAAGAATTGTTTTGAATGGAAAAGGAAACAAAATGCAAGCGGTGTGGTCCTTGAACAACCCAAAGGCAAGGGCTTTTTAAAAAAATCATTTGGTCTAATAAAGAATTTTTCGGATACTTAAAGTGGTGTTAGTCGTGCATACAGTAGTGGATTAGGACTCAAAAGAGGCCTGGGTTCAAATCCCCACTCAGCCAAGGAGACTCACTTGGGTGTATGTGTGTGTGTGTGGAACTGGTAAAGCCACTTCTTAAATGGCTCGCCTGGAAAGCCCTATGAATGGCGCTGTAAATCGGCACATAACGAAGGAAGGGATCATCCGCTCCCCTTTGCCTGTGGATGGAGAGAGAGTGACCAGCGAAGAAGCACTAAGAGGTCACACAGGACTCCTCGTCTTTCTGGCAAGGGAAGGACTGATCTTTAGCACTTCAGAGGTTTTGGATTATGATCTCCACAGCCCTTTAGCACCGCCAATACAGGCTGGGGATTCTGGGAGTTGAAGTCAAAAACCTGGGGTGCCAAGGGTTCGCCATCATCACCCCTGCAGCCGAGTAACACAACCTTCCCCATGGAAATCATGGTGACGCTTTTGCTTGGGGCTCCCAAAACAAGTTATTTCTTTGATTACAACTCTCAACATCTGCTAGGCAGCAAGGCCGCGGAGTTAGACCCCCAAAACCCATACTTTCCCCAAGCGGTAAACTCCAGATAAACAAAAAGAAATAGTCTTTAAAAAAAAAAAAGAATTCCCCACTCATTTCTGTGGGAGCAAAAGGATGCCACTCTAGCTCAAACCACCTCTATGGTAGAATCCCCAGTCTTCCGCGAGAAGCGCATGCGCACCCCTGATGTCGGCGTCACGCTGAAAGGAAAACGACGCAAACCCGGAAGAGATACGTACAGCTTCCGGTTCTGTCTTAAGTAGTGGGCTTGTGCTCAGGAAGGGCAGGCGGAAGTAGAATTTTCCTCCAAGTGTATACAGTATCTGGTCGTTTTGGGCTACCCTGTTCTCATTAGCCCGCCAGCTTGGCTTGTGTCCGTGGATAATGGGAATTGTAGTCCAACACTTGGTGGTCCCCAGGTTCTTTCAAGTCCTGGTTTCAGATACGCAGCACATTTTACTTGGGAATAAGTTCCACCAAACTGTGTTTTGGGTGGAAGGGGAATAATAAATTATTGAGGCCCTGGTGGGTTGTCTTGCCCGGCCTTCAATCATCCTCAGAGCCTGGGAAATATTTGTCCGAGGATGCTGGGAGTTGTAGTTAAAAAGGAGAACTTTCTCAACCTCTGGTTGCCTCAGAACAACTCATCCTGGATCTCTTGTCAGAATAGCAGTGCGTGTTAAGAAAAAAAAACTACCCCATACGTTTCAAAATGGGTTGGACAATCTTAGGTCCTTCAGAAGTTTTAAGCCCTGCAATAAAATATTTATTTTCTTTACCTTCTTGATTCTACATTAAGAGTGGTGTTCGAGCTTTAATTTTGAACGGAGAAATATGTGTAGAAGGTATGGCATATATACCATATATTTAGGAAGGCATTCTTCATGTGCAAGAGGGCCCTTGTTAGGCAGGATTTTGCTAAGCAAGGGTTTTTTTAATGTGAAGTGCTGTCCTGCTTGTGCTTTTAAAACTCTTCTTATTTGGGTTTTTTAACAAGATTAGCTGGTTCATCATGCTAGATTATTTGGATTGACCCTTTCCTGTAATATCTTCGGTTTAGAACTGCGAGCCTCCCTAAGCTCTAACGCTGGTGAAATGCTAGATACAAACCACAGAGCACAGCCCTGAGTTTGTCTACTCAAAAAGGAGACCCATGGAGTTACTCCCAAGCAAGTGGGTTACATTAAGATCGCAGCCTAAGGGGATAATTGCACTTTTTGCATAGGAAGGCAAGGGGAGAAATGTTATTAAGATGATGCTGAAAGCAAGGGGGATTGTTCAGAATTGCCTGGACCAACGGCGTTTGGAAAAAGTGCCTTTCCCTCTTTACAGAGGGAGGAAGGGTCATGGACTGCAAAATCAAACTCCAACAGTGCCATTAAAATTATGACCTGACTTTTAACCCTTTTACTAATCGTTGAGGAAGGAAGGAGCTGGGAAGTATGTGTGCCAGCTCCAAATCCAATGCTGGCTGCAAAAACCGCAAGCCTTTTCTACTAATGAAGGCGTTAGGGCGCAATATGAAGCCTCTCCCGAGACTGCTAGAAAGCGTCCGGTCTTTTATTTTAAATTTTTTTTTAGTGCGCAAAAGGGTGCGGATTTGGGATGTAAGGGGTGTTACTTAGGTGGCGGTCGTTAAAAAAAAAACAAAACCCCTTCTTGCCCTGTTTGAACAAGAGTTTTGAAATCAGCTTGGTCTGCAGAAGAGCAGAAAGGAGATACTATTTAAAAAAAGAAAATGAAAAGGCTCCGCGGAGGTGGGGTGATGGGGAGCAAGGGGGGCGCGCGCGTCTTTTTGACTTAGGTGGCGGTCGTAAGAAGCCTCCCTTCTTGCTCTGTTAAGAGTTTTGAAATCAGCTTGGTCAGCAAAAGAGCAAAAAAGTCGATTTTGAAAAGAAAAAGAAAGGGTCTCCGCGGAGGTGGGGGTCTTTTTGCCTTTGGCTGGGTAACAATATACAGTATGCGTTATCTGCCATGGCACATCAACCCCCTCTGTCCTTATCCCTATTATATTTTTATTTTCTCCGCCTCCCTTTCCTCCTGGGATCCTCCTCCTCCGTCGGAAGGGCTGCCGAGGTCAGAGGCAGACGCCGGCCGAGTTTCGGCACCGAGAGGGAACGGCGGAGGACTGGGGGCTGGATGCGCCTTCCTCCCCCTCCTCCTCCTCCTCCTCCTCCTCCCGGCAACTCCGCCGCCTCCCCCCCCCCCCAAGGGGCCCCCCCGAGCCTGCCTGGG